CAAGGAGAGAGTTATTAATGGGGTGGGGAGAGGGGGAAGAAAAAGTATGTGAAGGAGAAAGAAGGGAGGCGTCAGCAGTAGCCTGTTTTCGCTTACCCGCCCTGCCGTATGCAGCAAGTAAGGCGACCCGGCTGATGGCACCACGCGACGGCCGATGTGGCATGAGAATATTGTTAGTTGATGACATCGTGGTTGGTTTTGGTTGTCGCAGTTTAGGAGTTCCCATTTGGTTACAAGATAACCCACAGAAACTTTTTAGTGGTGTTGCACAGCATTCAAGCGAGACTAAGACTTATTACAAACCGGACTTCGATTGTAATTGAGAACGCTTGCTTCACAAAAATCCCAAAGTTGAAATGCTCTGCGGTCGTCTTACACAACACCAGTCATATGTAGGAACTCATTTTTAGTGAAATCCGCGGCCCTCACTTTTGGCCCTCAGGTAACAGCACTGTCTGACAGCTGTTCTTAAATTCACCGTTTCATGTCCTTCCCCAATGGATCCACTGTCCCAGTAGTTCACTGCTTTTTGGTTGGGACTTTGTAACGTGTTTAACTGCATCGCAAGATATATCTTGATTAGTTTCCAGTTAGAAAGCACCTTGATCCATATAATTTCATCTGATGAAAACACACCCTTCATTTTAGTCTATGCAGAAAAATTTTCACCTCCTGCACGCGAGTCCAGTGTGAGTGCAAGAGCAGCTTGTTGTCCTGCTTGCTTCAGAGTGCGAACATTGAAAGCGGCCAGATAGAGTGGGTGTCGAGGCTTGAGGACTGATCTGGAGATTCCTGAAGATGTCGGCGCCATGTGACGAGCAGACGCTGCACGCAAAACCGATGCATGACGAACGGAGTCATCAGTCCTAAGTGCTGGGCCTACAAGGAGAGAGTTATTAATGGGGTGGGGAGAGGGGGAAGAAAAAGTACGTGAAGGAGAAAGAGGGTAGGCGTCAGCAGTAGCCTGTTTTCGCTTACACGCCCTGCTGTATGCAGCAAGTAAGGCGACTCGGCTGATGGCACGTGGGCTGGGATACTGCAAGGGCGCCCACACCTAGACAAGTGGACCATTACGGTCCTCAACCAAAACCTTTGGCTCAAAAGCCTAACCGCAAGGCAGTGGTGTTTGGCGGGAAATGCAAATGCATTACCATTTCTACGGAACAAGTCGCCACATGTTTCAACTCCCAACCTGGAGGGCCAGGAGACTGTGTTCGTCAGACCTCTAACCATTGACCAACCAACCACTGAGCCACCTCGCCGCCGTTCCACAAACCGAAACCTATTGATACACTTGAATCCCTTGACACCAAGGAATTCAACTGGAAAATTTAGCGCGAAAATGTTTCCCGAAATATTTATTTTGGGTTTTTCACCTTTTGCCAAAAAGGTTTGACCGCTGAAATGATGGGAGGTATTTTTAAGGCCATACTCATTCTTCTCGCTTCAACTATTGCGACACTGAAAACTTCGGAAATTCCACTCGCGGAACTCTCGCACAGAAATACTGAACTATATGGCTGTGGTTCCAATTGAACCGGAATAGTTTTCTTATCTTGTATCGAAGGTTTGTCGAAGATTGTGCCTTTTAGAATCTCATATCCCGAACCACTAAATTCGGATTGTATTAGATTCGTCACGCCGCCTGATGCTGAGCACACGATAGCCTTAGTGTCGGCTCTTCGCCTCACAGAGCATCTCAAATGATTTTTCAGAGACTCGGGAACGGCCATCTGCTGGCTGAGTCCTGTTGAATCCTGATTGTCAGTAGATCTATATGTGTTCGCTTCTGATAAAGGCAACCTTTTGGCATTCTGCAACGGAAACAAGTGATTCATCTGTACCTTGTCCAGGATGCTCTCACATAATGAGTATTGTTCATGGCACAGTTAACTTTTAACAATGAATTACCCGTCTAGTGAGCTCTGCTTTTTTTCAAACGTGCACAGCAGCTAATGTATCCTATCCATACTGTGGTTTAGCCTGCACTTCGCAACCTGCGCTCCAGTTTGACACTAATTACCTACGATCCGTCTGTTTTCTGGCCTCAGTGATCATCTCTACTTCCCGTTACAAATTTCAATCGCCCACGTCTTTTTGGAATAAACTATTTAAGCGGTCTGTTGTTCACTGCAGTTTGCTTTGTTCATAACAGTCCCGACAAGAAACAATTTCAGAAAGAAAAATCAGTTATATCCACTTGTGTATAAATAGCAATTGTGATAGGTTTAGAATCTCTCTGGTAATGTCAGTTGGATCGCTAAAACACACTGATCGTTATCGAACCGCCTGCTGCTTGTGTCATCCAATACTTTGTTCTGAAGATTCGATCAGGTCTTGAATGTTTTTCTGTAACTTTCTGGATTTCGTTCTCTGTCATCCATGTGTCTTACTTTTCAGGGCTTGCTGATCTTGGATCCAGCAGGTACAAAGATGTAAGTAGCTGAACAGTATCTGAAATTAACGGTCGCGTAATGTCGTAATGCGCTTATTTCCGCTTCCGTATCCATATTGTTTGATATCCTCACCAGGCCTGTAATTTTACCAGGACTTTGTGAGTTCCTTTTGATGGATTAGTCACCTGCTTATGTCTTTATTCAGCTATGTTTGTTTAGAATGATACGCTACATTTTGCAGTCAAAAGCACAAGACGTCATCCATCATTGGTGTCTTCCAACTAGCTAGCTACTATGAATTTGAATCACATCTACGAGTCTTCACGCTTGGCCCCATCTTTTGTTGAACCAAACATCAGCTGAACCTCATTGATGCGTGACGATCAACTCAGGTTGTGACCGTGTCAGATTGAGGCCTGATGCCAACCTTGACGAAGCTAACACCGGTACATTTTTTGTTTATGTGCCACGAGAAATTTTGCTTCCACTGAGTTTTGCTTACCCCGAAAGCACATAAGACTAGTAGTTTGCTGATCTAGAAGTGTTGCCCAGTTGAGTTTGCTGAGATAAAGTTGTCTTGCGTTTTGAATCCTTCAGTCCATCCTCCGGAAATTCAGTGTTACAGAAGTAATATGAACAAGTGGCGTTTTTTGTGACAAATACAATCATTTGCGAATCAATTTGGTTTTCACGGGAGACCCAAGTGAATCTCTCGTTTACCAGTTTTCAGCACCCTTGTGAGTAGTTCCCATTATGAAAATATACCGCCATATCTTGAATATCGTCCCAACTGAAACATGAGGCGACCTGGGCTCACCATTTGAAGCACATCATAAACGAGAGATTCAGTTGAGTCTCCGGTGAAAACCAAATTGATTTGCAAATGAGCGTATTTGTCGAAATCATTTCAATTTGGGTTCAAGTAGAACATAAGGTTGACGGAAACTCGGGAACTGCGCCTAACTGATGAGCCCCACAAAGGGCGAAGCCGGTCGTGGGCTGTGGAAGTGTCTTCAGCAACCTTATGAGTAGTTTCCTTTATGAAAGTGGCGTCTTTTCTTCTCTAGTGCTAGCAAAATTCACTGTCTTGTCCGGCGGTAGTATTCAGTCAAAGTTGATAGATCTGCAATAGTATCATGGTCTCCAGCGTCGTAATATGTTTTTTTCCTGTTTGTCATTGCTAATCACTCATCAACTAGGTGGTTCAAATGTCAATCGTTTTCAGAACATCAGTGTGACATTCTTATCACCCTTGTTGAATGGTTCATCAAGTTGGAATTTAGGGCTTGGTGCGGTTGGCAACTCGATGCTTTGAATCTGGCTGAATGTTCGTGCAACGTTTGCGTGCGTTTCATCTATCCGTTCAGTGTCGATGATAAATGCTATCCGACCGAGGAATGCGACAATTTCTTGATTTCCGGTCAGAGTCTCATTAAACCACGATTTCTGTTGTCGTGGAAGGGTCATTTAAGGGGTCGGGATCCCATGAAGACCATCTTGAACACATAAATTAGAGATAATTCAAGCGATAGCTTTGCTTGTAGAACGCCGCGCAGCAAGATTTGTGTGAGTTCGCTTTCCGCTGCAGTTATTTTGATCTTCCCTTGGATTGCGTATAATTCTCTGCCGAATGCCTACTCAGCTTAACCATGTTACTCGCCGTGGAATGCGTCTTCCACATTCCGACCGCTATGTTTCCCGTCAGGATTCTCAACGGCCCTTTATCGTATAGGTAGCTTTTGGACCAGTAGACTGGCATTTCTTCGGTATTCGGTGCGTGTTTCTCGTTTAACCGGCAACTCAAAGATACAAGGAGTAGATCGTCCCACCTTTTTTCTGTCTAGTCGAATAAAGACTACGTTAACATCATTGGATCTCCTATGATCACTTGTGAGGCTGTTCATTGAAGCCTCAGGAATTTTATGATAACAAAAATACCTCTTAAAGTTTGTAGTGGGATAGATTGTATTTTCTAATGAAACTGTGCTATTTGCTAGCTGAGTGAGTCCTAGAAGAAAGTAAGATAACGAATCTGAATACTCCCGGGGAGATTGTATTCAGGTCTATGGCCCGGAAATTTAGCTAATACGAGGGATAACGTAAATAAGCCGACTGATAGCAAAATCAGTCTCATTCAGTTAGACGGAGAATGATTAATTGTCCCTTAAGTCGTTGGATTTGACAGCATGTTTCACATGGCCAAAGGAAGTGTCCTAAATTTGTACGAATCACTCGTACAGCATGTTATGGAGTCTAATGAACTTATTGCGATTGCTTCAGCTGTCACCACCTAGGCCGTCCTATTAATCTATCCTGGTAAACTAAGGCGCAGTGTGCAGGTGAATTCAAACTACTCGCTTGGGTGACCACTCCTAAGGATATGTGGCAAGATCGAGCTTTTGACAGCGATAATTGGCCTACCGTCACCCTGGTGCTTGCTTGTTCTTTTGCAAAATTACGATGTACTGCGCACCAATATATTTGACTTGAAGGTGTGAAAGCAGATACACAGTGGTCTGGATGCAACACACTGCTTATAAGTTTGCTGAAGAAAATCACTACAAACGAGATTAGCGGCTGGGTTCAGTTGATATCATAACCAGGTTAGTGCGCAAATAAGAGTAGTCGGCAAATACACAGCTGAACTTATCTCCGAGGTTGAACTCAGGCACACTGTTCTTACTAAGACAGTTCTTTTTGAACACTGCGAAGACTGACCGTGTTTTTCAACGGGTTTCCTGGCATGTTTACTCCATGTATACTTAATTTTAAGAAGAATCCCTAGAAAATCGTGGAGCCTATTTCTCGCAAGCAATCTTTGAATAGTCGTTCGTTGTTAGGGAAGCGCTTGAGTCGGATTTCCAATATGTCGTCATAACAAATCTATCTGTCTCGATTACATATATATATATATATATATATATAATGTCGAAGGCATTTTTATTTGATTCCGATAAAAGTACCAACGTTTGTATATTGCACGGTCCGTGTGGCCTTTCTGTATACAAATCGCTATAATGAATTCGTTGGTGTCCTGTTTGGACCCATATCTAATAAATGAAATGACATTTTCGTTTCACTGTCACACATGAAATGAGTGGAATGAGGTGATTGGGCAGCAATACAAGAAAAAAGTACTATGCACTTGATCCTACACTTTGGGTGACCATTTTAAACCTTACTCATGAAAATATAACCAAAATGAGACCAGTTTGAGGGACTATAGCTACTTGGGCGATCTGCCGATGAAGTGTTTAGTCGAACCGAGATTGTACAATAAACTTATAGCGTTTTATTCTACCCATATTCAGAGCTGTATTGAAAACGATTAGTTGAATGGCCCATCCGAGTGTACCCTTTGATACTTAAAATTGTCTGCTTGGACATTCGTTTGCCTTGAAGCGAGTTCTTCAGCTGTTTGCTAAACAGCTTGTAGTCAGTGAAACTTCTGTGAGATTCAAACAAAGTTTTCGCAACACACCATGGCCAGAAGGGCAAGGCGAGTTGGAAATGTGCATGGGAGGAGAACGACTAGGCTGTCTCATCCATTCACATCCGGTACGTTTAAGGTAGGGAGGAAAACGACGAGGTGGCACGTAATTCGCCAGTTATCTTTGCCACAGACGTGATGACTACATTTAGATATATTGCTGAGGAACGTTTCAACTCTGTTCCCGTTGAAGAACAACGAACTACAATAATTTATGCTCATATGAATTGTCCTACTCAACACGACGTCGCTGCTGAGAGAACACTGTTAACTATGTTTGCAAAGATAGCTGTTGCTCTGTTCACGGAGTTGGACAATTAGGTTGCAAAAGCTCCGTGTGATGAAATCATCTAGATGTAGCAAGTTAGTGGCGTGTTCTAGTTAAGTATTGTCTCTCCAAACTGTGCAACTCATTTCGTTGCCGGTCGATAGCACGATGGTATAAGTTATTAGCTGAGATGACTAATCTGATCTCGTATTCGTTGGTCAGCCTAGTGTGAGTGAAAGCATCCTGGAGATTAGAGTTTCAAAGCTTCGGCTAACAGGCCAGCACTAATTTGCATTGATAATTCACGCCTGCTTGCGTGTGCAGTCCGGTACTTCGTTGGTGACGCAGGCCGAATTCCACTAGCACACTTTTCGAATAATAAACCGATATATTCCTTTAGGAATCCACACAGGCTATCAATTATTTTGATGATAGGCTGATGACACGACATTTTGGAAATCCACATCCAAGATTGACATGTGGTGCTTGAAATTTTTTTCAACTGGATTCCGGAAACAACTTGGGCTCTAAATAAGGCCACACCTACGATCATCGTCATGAACTTCGCCCACAACACGTGGTCACTCCCTTGCAAAACTTTCCTTACTCACGATTGGTGGACCCTATTTTCTAATCTATTTCCCATTGGTTCGCTTTGGCTCAGCCATACACACCTATTCCCTGCGTATTAAAACATGTCCTTCTTTCATATACATAAGTGAACGGGCTCAAAATTATAGCTTCGTCATGCAGTCGGACTGTCTAGTTCTATCAGAATCATATCACGCCCCGGCAAGTCCGGCGGTAAATCCTGTAACCACAGGTGTCGTATCCGTTACGTGTGGATTTCCGATGAGTATGGTTTCCACTCGCCGTGGACTATCTATGGGCTCTGGTGAGGTATCCAGCCCAGCACAGCTGTTTAGTCCCGCGCCAGTTCGTTCAGGAAAAACACCAGTGTCACCCGTAGCACCAATGGAATTTACCGGTATAGTCTCTTCGGAGTATAGCGATGATGACGCTGACGATGCGGAGATTCAGGAAAACCACCACTCTGCACTGCTTACGGTTCGTCCAGACAAACGATTGACAAAAGAGGATCAAACTCAAGTGATGAAAACGGACACTTCCAAGAACTCCTCTGAACTCCTGGCAAACCAGAATGTCGAGGTTCCTTTCTCTAATTCTGACCATGTGTTGTTCCGTTCTGACTGCTCTCACTATCATGACAAATACCACCTCTATTCATTGGAGTACAACAAATCAGTCGACGATGGCTTT